TCGGCTTGGGTTTCGAGAAGGTTTCACCTGATCAGGTTTCTGACAAAACAGCTGTCAAATACCTCTGTTTAACCTTTTCAGCATCAGATATGAAACAAAGGGGCCTGAAATATCCACCACTTAACGCTGAATTCATACGACACCCAGCAGAGTTTCTTATTCTGAACTTTTCGGAGGTTAACCTGTCAATGAGGTCAGCAGGTACCAGGTACTGCGAGTTTCTACAGCAAACCCTGGGGATCCTAGAGAGACGGGACTCTTGTGAGTCCTCTTTCATTAGAGACTATCTAGAAAATGGAGGAAAAGCCCTCATCCAGATGGAGAGATGGTGTGTGGTTGCTTTCTACTTAATGAAGAGTACTGTTGTGCGTTGCGGCGCGTTACTAGAGTTCAACAAGGTTTCTGTGTCGGTCTTCGATTGAGTTCTTCTGATAGCGGCAGGTGTTGTTCCGTTTCTAGCTGTTTTGTGTTGTCAGACCCGGCCGGGAGCTGTGGCAGAGCCCAGCTTAGGAATGGTCTCTGCCTGTACAGCACACAGGTACCTGGTGCTGGAGGGCGACGAGGGGGCGGGGGAGAGCAGTACCGACGACGGCCTCTTGGGCGGCCCCGGCGAGCTGGGGGAACGCCGGGGGTCGGCCGGCGACGCGGGCATCGACCTGAGGAAGCTGCTGTCGCCGTCCTCGCTGCCCGCCAGCGCTCCTGACTTCGGCCGACAAGTCATGACGCACATCCGGGTGTTGCAGGCCAGCCTGCACCATCTCAAGGTACTCGTCGGGCCTTCTGGGAGTGGGGCGCAGGGGCGCGGGGCCGAGCCGGGCCTTGCATGCTTCAATGGTGCTTCTCCATGAACCACAGCGAACCACAGACGCACGGTGGCCTGCGCTGTGGTACAGCTCTGAGCCCATGCCCGGTTCTCTGCCTCGTGCTGAATTACTCGCCTTCCAGCTGGATCAGTACACAACAAACAGAAAGGAATCTGAGACAGCCTTAAAGCAGTTTCACAAATTGATGGGACGGTTCGCACCCAGACATTTTGTTCTACTCGTAGGGCTTTTAATGCTGTTGAAACATCACTTTATTTCCCAGCTGCCAGGGTTGTTAAGACCTGTTCTGTTGTCGCTGCAGGTACGCATGTTGCTCAGCTCGTATTGCCGTCTGTCGCTGTAGTAGTAGCCCTGATGCATGTGAGAGAGGATGTTCAGTGTTCGGGTGCAGTCTTACTGGCTATATAGAGGCGAAGTCCCCTGGTCTGCTGGCAAGGAGTGCTGCAAGACTCAATGTGAACTCTTTTCCATTCTGCATTATTAAAGAGGCATTAGTGCATCTTGTGGCTGCTTATTTAATTATGAGTTCCATAATCAAGGAGCTGGCCTTGGGCAGGAAAGCGGTATGCTGTGGCCACAGTTGAATAGCCCTAGCTGGGAGCACCCAGACCCTCATTTGACCTGCTTTCTCTTTTAACAGGAGGTGGAGACCAAGTATAACCTACTATGCCAAAGGCTGGCAGGATCAGCTTCTGACACAGACGAACACAAAGGTACAGAATCTGCTCTTGGGCTCGGAGACGTCACCAGCTGTGCTCTGCCTTCAGCGCCGCCGTGTGGTGTCAGTGTGCTATGACACTGTCAGGGTTAGAAGAGGACAGCTGATACAGAAACTCATTGGACAGCGCTGTCATTCTGGAGTTACATAGGGTTCTACTTAAAAACCAGAAACAATTACTCCCATGTTGACATTCTGATTGTCAATAGCATAGTCGTCCATCCAAAACCCCTTTTGGAAAAACCCCTTGTTCCAGCAGAACGTAGAAAAGTGATCAAGTGTTTTCCAGGCACCTTTGGAGTTAGTAGACATATGTCACAGTTGCATATATGTCAGTTTTGAGCTCTCAGTTTCTACCTCTTTAAAAAGAGTTGTAGCGTTTGTAAAATTGTCACTTTGCAATTACCAGGTTGATGTAAACTTTCAGAAATGAGAGTGTAATTAATGCATTCAGCTGTTTAATTGCACTGAAGAGTGTAATTATAACATTTCAGGGAACTGGGAGCCTGGTACAGAGTAAAGCACACCCTCTCTATAGCAGACCTCAAAGATGCTTAGAATTAGTTAATTGAAACAACAGCTGTTTTTATTTTGCTCCTGTTTTTTTGAGGGGCTCTGTCTGATTCCTGTAAGCGTGCTGTCTCCTCTCCTCTCGCTCTTTTTGCATTTGAGGATAAATCATATGCGTCTGTCTGGCTTTACTGCTTTACTGAATGCAGTACTTGCGAGCCAAATAAAAAACAAGCTGTAAAAGTCATTGATTTATGTATATTAGTGTTGGAGAAGCTGTGTCTGATAACAGTAGCCACTGGAGGGTATTAGACTTGTTAGTTTACAGTACAGGCCTGGTGTGTAGGAACCGGCATAGCATAAATCATGGAATTGGTTCCCATTCTGTTGTAGATGCCGGTGTATCTTAAGTGCTTCTGGGATCTGAGGGGTATTTTTTGCCATTTCTTGTTTCGAAACAAGTGGCTGCTTTTGGTTGACTCATCTTCTTTAGCCGTTACAGGACCAGTTGAAGAATCTCTGAAATATTGTGCCTGGTGTGCGGTTTATTTATATTAGCATTGAGTGTTTGAAGCCTGATCTTCCTGCTGCACCTTGAGGCTTGAGCGGTAGAATTAGTCTTCACTGCTCTGCTTCCCTTTGCGCCTGATGAGATGACAATAAGATCGATCCTTCACCCAGGGGTCATGCAGCTCAGCTGGAGGATTAACAGTGCGGCCGATGAGCCAATACGATGAAGCTGTAGTCCCTCCCTTTTACTGGTGATGGTTCCCACAAGTCCTAACAAGGCCTCTTTCTGTCTCCGCTCCATGCAGACAAGAGTTAGTGCTGGCAGAGGATGGCCAGCCCCTGCACCCCGCCCAGACGGACGACTGGCCGGAGGGACAGAGGGGACATACCGGCTCAACCCCTGGCACTGCGGCGCGGCCCCTCCTTCCACTCCTGAAGGGAGGGGGGGGGGGCAAGGGGGGGCAGGAAGGCGCGAGAGAAGCGCCCGTCGGTCTCTCCTCTGTCACGCCTGCACCAGGCAATCAGGGAAGACAGCCTGAGCAGCGCACCCCCCAGTCCTCCCTGAAGACCCCCCTCTGCTCGGAGAAAGAACTTACCAAATCGAACAAGAAGAGGAGAAACACATAATCTGATAATAACGTCGTTAGATTTTCTTTTTGTTTTTTTTACCCCAAGATGTATTTATTTGACTTTAATTTTATTTGATTTTTTTAAAGAACTCTGAATCTCCTTTTCCACCATCCCGTTTCTGGGGTGCTGTGTGGCCTCCTGAACTCTAGAGGGCAGCCTTGGTTGTCTCTGTGCCCTGCCTGTCGGGCACAAGCGCTAGCCTTGTGAGAAGCTGGTCTGAAGTGGATCTTGCACTGCTGTAGTTCCCTAAGGGCACGACTGTGCCGAGCAGAGCTATGAAGAACGTCCTGCCCAGGTGTGGGGTCGGGCCTGGAGAAAACTAGCGGGTTTGATGACGGAATAATACACACTGCATTTAATTGTACTCCCTCCCCTGCGTCATTTTAAAAGCGTTTTCATTACAACTTTCTTCAGCCAGCCCTGTTGCACCCCGTTCTTATATTTATATAAAATGTTTAAAAAAGCGAAGGGATCTTGTAGGGTTTCCTCCACTTTAATTCGGTTCTTAATCACTAAGCCTGGGCTGTTGACAAACCCACCTGGTTGCCAAAGACTGGCAGAAGATGTCGAGCAGTATTTTTTTGTTGTTGTAAAAGTGAGTATTTCGCACACAGCTGATGACTGTACGACTGATCTTCTGGTTCCGTCGGCCACCGCGTTTTTATTCGCGCCGGGTGGGGCAGGGCAAGGGAGCGCGCCGACGTCACCGGAGCGCGTGGGTCCCGGGTTCGACTCCGGCTTGGCGCGGCCGTCGGTGCGGAGGCTGCGTGTCCTCGCCGAGTCCGAGCGGGCAGGCGAGTCGGGGGCAGGGGAATCCCGGGGGGTCTCGTACTTAGAGGCGCTGTTCGTGAGGGCCCGCTCCCTTCTTTTCAGTTGTCTGATGCTCAGTCAGAAGCAACTGCCCCTGGAACAACCTCGCCTCTTGGGCGTAACAAGCTCGAGGTGAAAGGGAACGGAAAAATCTCTTTGTTGGAAGCTTTATTGCTGTTTTTTGAAGAGTACGGATTCCCCTAAGACGGTATTGTCTGTGTGTACTGCGCTGTGGGTGGGCTTTCTTCCAGCAGTTCTGCCTGCGTTAGGGGCATTTCCACGTCAGGATGAATTTACAGCTGTCAACCACAAGGTGTCGCTCCAAGCTTAAGAAAGTGTCTGTGTGTGGGGGGGTTGCACAGCGTCTCCGTTCACCCCGTTTGATAGTTTGTCAATGCATTGACTATCTTTCTAGTCAGGACAGCCCTTAAAGTTGTGCCCTTGCCTTTACTAACCCGGGGGGAGAAGCGAGAGGGGAGGGAGGAATCGGTTGCTGTGTGTTTCATTTGTTACTTTGTCTTTTGTATCGCGTTACTGTACAGGGTCCTTCGGAAATGGGCTACTATAGATATTTTCATTCACAGACGAAGGAGGAAAAATAAAGGGGGGAGAGACTGCGTGCCTCGCTGTCAGCCCGCCGCCGGGCGCGGACTCATCCATCGCTCCCCCGAAACACGGAAACCGCGGAGCAGGGAGCTCGGGGATCATGTTGTGTAAAAATTGTACAATTCTGACCATCACTGCATCTCAGAACAAGAAAGACGATGAGATACGTTCCTAATTATTTTTTAATTTGTTTTTGTGTGTTGTTTTTTTTCTGCTTTCTACATCATACAATCATTTATTATTTTAACAGAAATTACTAAAAAAAAAAAGAAATAAAGGACTCCGCAAAGTATTCCTAAAAATATTAATGTAATCTGTATTTTTATTGATCTTTTTGTCTAGACGTTTATGAGGCATTATTATATTATATTATTATATTATTATTGTTATTATCATCATGTGCTCTTTGGTTCACTGTTTTAAACAACATGTAAAATAGCTCTTTTAGTGGAGAGATTCTATGTAATTTGAACAAGCTGATATATTGTTCAAGAACAAAGCAAGAAGACAAAATTGTGTATTTTTTATTTGAATTTTGTTTGGGGGAGGGGAGGATTCTGGGCCTTAAAAAGAAAAAAAAGTGTTCAAATATCATTAAATAAGCTTGGTGGAAACAGTGGATGTCTGCTTTTTTTAATTGTAGAGCAGAAACTTGACAGGCAAGCGGGTGGATGTGCTGTGGGTTTAAATTGGTCTTGAATCAGTTCTTTGGGAAAGCAGAATAGTTATGGTTTCTTTACACCAAGGGTGGTGGAAGTGTGGAACAGGCTGCCCAGCCCATGCTGCATGGGCCACCTGTCTTTTGTTACCATCCTTGTGGTTTCTGGTCAAACAAAGTTCTTGCTTATCCAGCGCGACCAATTGTTTTTGCACTCTGCCTCTTCCTTAGGGTCTCGTACAGACGCCTGTATCCCGAGAAGCTTGCTGTGGCTTTTGAGCAAAGCAGCCTGGGATTCCCAAAAGGCTGTACGTGTTCCTAATGTTTTACCTTTTAGCCACAAGTGCTTGTAGCTTAAAAGAGATAGACTGATCCCCACAGAGGTGAGGCAGCCGTTAGGAAGCTGTGATGCTGTGCGTTAAGAGTTAGTCTCTTAATTCTTTATCTTGTGGAGGCAATTCAGACAAAGTTCTACATGAATTGTATCACAGAAGTGAGTGTCACAGGCATTATAAGCGCTTAAGCTTAACAACTCTTCGGGGCCTGATGGTGCTCTACTGTTTGTGCTTAAGGAAACGAGAGATGTTATGGATGAGCCATTAATCGCTGTGCCCCAAGATTGGGTTTTCTTCTTCTGGAGCGATGAGCCCAGGTGATCGAGCACCTGCAGCGTGGTGCATGCGATAGAGGCTTGTGAAATGGAGTAGGATACTTAAAGATCCTAACTGAGGGACCTGAAAACAAGGTGCGTAATGGCGTAGACACAACGAAGCACCTGCCCGGACGAATATTCCATATGAGCCAGCGTTAATCATTTCTTAGTGTGAAAATCGAAGACGCGCAAGCTTTAGTGAAGGAGCACTTTAGTTGCTTTACAGCTAACAGCTACACTAAGTCCTGGTGAACCCGTCTGGAGAGTTCCTTGAGCCTGTAGGATTAAACTCAGCCAGTACGGACAGCCAGAGGACTCAGGAGCCGGCGGCACCCCCTGAGTAGAAGACGTGGAAAACGAACAAATATTATTTAAACAAATTGCCCGCATCACAAAGGACTTTCAACCTTCCTTTCGTGAACACAAAATATTGTAATTTAAAAAAAAAAGTATTAAAACGCTCGCAGTCTGAAGTTTTCCTAATTGGTTGAACAAGGCGCTTCGGGCGTCCGAATATTTAATCAATTCCTTTTTTTAATTCCTGTGACAAAACCATTGAAATAGCGGCCCAGCGCAATTTTAATATTTATATTCGGTTTTTCTAAAGGTGATCGCTCGAAGCTGGCTCCGCCGGAGGAGTTCCTCTCCCCCTCCACCCTCACGCGTACTTGTCCACCGGCGCTGCGGGGAGCCCTTCAGCTGCCCCCCTCCGCGTTCATATTCGCCTGTCTGTGCGAGTCTGTCCTCAGCGGGGAATTCTCAGCTGTCCTTCATTTCAGTTATTGGTTCATCTCCCTTCTGTCTTGACTGTCTGGTAAGAAGTCGCAGCCTAGCCGGAGAGCTGACGGGCAGTCGGAGAGATAAATTACATTTTTAATACATAGCCAGTGCACGCTGGACTGTTGTTTGTTTATGTGTTT